AATGCACAGTGGTACTAGATTGCTTAAATATTGGGATTATGAATTCAATATATATAAATATTTTAATGAACTTTTTTGACTAGATACATACAACTTTTATTTTGAATTTTTTTATTTTTGTCTAAACATTAAAAATTTCATTTAAAATAAAAATACAAAAACACAGAGAAACTTTGTATTCTGAAACACCTTTGGGCGCTACATAACTTTAATGAGTGGTACACGTTTTATGACAAATTTTTACGTGAGAAACATGTGAGTTTTGCAGTCAAACATCACATCTATTTACAGATCTTAGCGAAATATACATACATATGTATGGTGACATATAGTGATTTTTGTAGGAAAAATATAAATATGTTAAATATTTCCTATATGTTATATACCTATTATTTTTAAGCAGTGAGAAGCGAAAATAAAGGCAACATATTGATCAAATTGTATTAGATCAACTTAAATGTAGGTGGTCTATCAGGCAGTCTACAAATCTTAAATTTAGAATAGCCAAAAAAATTTGATATGATTTTTGCCCAATTCTTTGGCAAAGTTTGAGGCACTTAGAAATTCAGGTTTACTGCTTAGTCAACAGAACAAAAGGAGGTATAAGAAAGCAAATTGCAATTCTAGTTCACGATCAGTCAAGATGTTGTGAAAGGCGTGGCTGATGATGAGCAACGACAGACCATAAACATAAGGCTTATATCTCACCCGATATTTGTGAAACATTAATAGATCATAAATTAGTTGATAACACATTTCTCCATCAAATATTTGAAGTATTTAAATAAATGTGAAAGGCGTAAGCTAGATTTAGACGTCTTATAAGTCGACTTGAGTTGAAATTTATGTGAATATGATAATGAATGATGAGTTCCCACATGATTCAAAAATGCATATATTTGAATTAAGATATAGATTTCTTCAAAAGCAAGATAAGTTGGTTAGTCGGTTAGTCGAAGCCAAAATACCCTCCTTGCGCAGTGCTTGGAAAACCAAGAAAAGATTTAAATTTCATATATATAGATATTAGATTGTTATATATATATATATATAGATAGTTCATTTAAGTATTATATAGTAGTAGAAGCTGTGTAACAGTCTTATACGATATATAAAACAATTACTTAATTTGATGACACCTGAGATTTGAGAACAGATTTCCGAAAGTCTTATATAGAAATGCTTATAACTATTGTCCTTATCAGATTATGTTAAGCCTATATCCTATATCTGCCAAGCATTACCTATTCCATAACCAATTCGTAATACCCTCAATAGCGAAGGGCATTCGAAATATGTATGTTGACGTTTCCATTAGTCAAGTGGAACAAAAACGTCGCTTGTACGGATGATACGAACACCCAAAGTTGGCATATCTATATAATTATGAGCATCTATATGCGATATTCGTCATATGCTAATTATGCGATTCGCTGGGTGGTCCGGCACGTTGTTTGTTATTGTTGAATTTCGCTTTATGTAAAAATATAAAAATTTTTAAATTCGATTTTTATTGTGGCACAACTATAACTGGGCTCCACATATAGATAACAGTTGTTCTTGGGATATTTCTCAATTGGGCAAGCTTTCTTCGTAGACAGACGTAGTATGTTTGAGTGTGTGCGTGTGTGTATGTGTATGCATTAGTTGAGTCGACTATTTATAATGCTTCGGTGTAATTAAGTAGTCAAAGCCCGTGGGGCATTTGTCTGGGTCTTTGCTAAATTATGCGTGTGTCAGTCTGGCCACGAACTTTTTGATTGATTAGTGTGTTATGTTATGGTCAAGAAACGTTTTTTATTTATTTATTTTTATTTGGTTGTCTTCTTTTTCGAAGTTCTTAAAAGGGACGCTTCAAAGTCTATTTTTGACTTAGTTTTTAAATGGCATTTGTATTGCACCTGTCACAGCAGACGCTGCCTGCCTCACTGTTTCTTTCTCGTTCTTTCTCTCTTTGTGTCTCTCTACACACGCATTCGACACGTCACAGCAGCTAAGTGCATTTCAAACTGTGAGCTGGCATTGGCAGTGGGATTAGCCCAAGCGCTGTGGATTAGTGAAGGAAAATGTGCGCATTTCTAATGAAGCTGTTCCCAGTTGGATAGGCTTTACAAAGAAAATGCAGCACAAACAATTTTCCGCTTTAGTCAAAGCAAAAACAACAACAGCAACAGCAGCAAGGCAAACTGAGCAAAGGCCATAAATCAATTTGTGACATTTCCTCACGACGCCGACGTTGGCAGCGACAGCGACAGCGACAGCAGCTGCGGGTGTCTCTTGCAGTAGTAGACGAATAAGCAGAAGAAGAAGTAGAACATGAAAAAGAAGGAGCACCAAACAACAACAACAACAAAACAGCATGCAAGATTGATGATATGTCACATGGTCAGGCAACATTTGGCGAAGCTGGTTGCAGATAAAACAGCGAGAGAGAGAGAGAGAGAGAGAGACAGAGTGAGGGAGAGGGAAGGTAACGGGAGAGAGAAACGAACGTAATATGAGTAAAGAGAGGAAGAAACAGCAGCGAGGAGGAGAAGGAGTGACAAGCGTTAACAGCAGCCGCTGTGATGTCTCAATTGCGCACAGTTTTAGTAGCACTGGCTGGCAGTGACTGCCAAATCTAGATTACAATTTATTTTTAGTGCTACGACCTGCGGCATTGCAACATTGTTGTTATTGCTGCAGCCAGCGAGTTTCTCAGAATTTGGTACGTCTTTTTGTTTAGGTTTTGCGCCTAACCAGGGAAAAACATTCTTTTACACACACACACATAGGCACACACGCACAAATTATGGAAAAAATTCCACGAACATTGCAAACGCAGTCGCCACATGCGGCGCAGCTTGAAAGAGACGCCGCCGACGCTGACGCCGACGTCGCTGCTGTCGCCGCCAATGACTTCATTAACATTAGCCGCCAGCGCGCTGCAAGTTTTGCGGAAATAGTTTGTCTACTGCGACAGCGACAGCATAGCTAAACAGCAGGAAGTGTGACACTCTCTCCCACTCTTTCTCTCTTCCACTCTTGCACTCTCTTCTCCTTCTACCCTTTGGCACACCTTTTGGCGCACCCGCGAAATGCCACGCATAACTAAAGACCGCGCAGGCAGAGGTAACCTTTTGGCATGGCTTATTTATGCTTGACTCCCGCGCGCCACTGCCTTTGCCTCTGCCCCTGCTGCTGCACGTTTTGTTAACGGTAGTCATAAAGTGACTGCCTAGCAATAATAGAGACGTCTTCCTTGTAGTCAATGCCACTTAAGTCACAAGCAACACGAAGAAACTTGATTTGAAGCTAACGCTGGGCCATTTTACTGGCGGAAAATCTGTGAAAAGCGATAAAAGCAAAAGGAGTCTGCCACACAGACTTACAACAAAAAAAAAAAAATAAAAATAAAAGAGCAGAGAAGTGCCCAATCCCCCAGATTGAGACGTTTCATGCACAGCTCGGAATGTCTGCGCTGTACCTGTATCGCTGTCTGTATGAGTGTCTGTGGCAATGTGTGTGTCGGTGGCTGGGTGCGGCTGCTGCACAGTGAAACACGACTAGAAGCCACCAGCAGCTTGTAGAACTTTCGTGTGAAACCTTGGACAGGCTTGTATGCACCTTGTGGCAAGTGCTCAAAATTAGACTAAAAGCTAAAAATACTAAATCGTCATAAAGCTGTTATAATAGTAGTAGTATAAGAAGTAGTAGTAGTAGAAATAGTAGTAGAAGTGCGATTAAGATTAATAGTAGTATTAGTAATAGAAGCTGTAGTAAAAGTAGTAGAAGTAGTAGTAGTAGTAGTAGTTGTAGAACTAGTAGTAGTAGTAGTAGTAGTAGTAGTAGGAGTAGTAGGAGTAGTAGTAGTAGTAGTAGTAGTAGTAGAAGTAGTAGTAGTAGTAGTAGTAGTAGTAGTAGTGCGTAATTTAAATTAAAAAAAAAAATTAAAATTAAAATTCAGACTAAAACTAAACTAGGTATTGTAAGCTTCTAGATCTCGATATTTCTTCAACTAATTCTTTATCAAATTAAAAGCAACAAAAGCTTAGAAGATTTAAAAATTGTAATATTTTAATTATAGATCTACGACTCCTTTATTAGTCTATGTTGCTCTCATTAATTACAAAGAAAAGGTCGAACTCGTCATTTATTAGATTGACCCCAACTCAAATCCCTCATCGATACATCAAAGTCAAAGTCAAAGTCGATTAGCGACTGCGACCCACTGTGCAATGACTGGTCGGTTAAAGGTTCGATTGAGACGTTAGCGTGCTGCTCATTATTTGGGTCTCAATTTCCGTGCCAGAGCCAAGCAACAAAGACGAGAAAGCCAGGGCGCAAGAGAGGTAGAGAGAGCGAGAGAGACCAATTGCCAAACAGGCGATTACACTGCTTAACAAAAGTCCAGTTTGAGTTGTTGTGAAATGTGTTTAAGTGTAAAGTTTGAGGTCTGAGGTTAAAGATCACATGAAAGTTTTTTCGAAACTTTAACGAATTAAAAGAAAAGCTTTTTTCTAAGCTCTGATCTGTATTTATACAAAATAGCAAAGCTTTTGATGCCCACAAGCTGTAGAAAAGATCCTTCAAGAACTTTGCTCTAGTCAAATTGTTGTTGTACAGTGTTGAAGCGGCGTCGAAGTCGACGTTGACGTCGACGTTGCCGTTAACTGCAGCGTCGGCGTCTTCTGTTGTTTCGTAGGCTGGGCTGGGTACATTTGGGCGCTGCTGCGGCGGCTGCTGCTGGCATGGAATGGGCTGGGTTGATGATGATGATGGCTTCATTGCGCCGCTGTGGTCGTCGCAGATGCTACAGAAACATATAAATTATATGGTTGCGGTCGGGCCACACGCTGTTTCGTTATAATTTTAATGCGTTATTTATGGCATAAACCAAAAAAAAAAAACAAAAAAAAGTAAATAAGACCCAAAAAAAAAAAACTATTCAAAATAACAGCTCACTCATCTACACTCTCTCTCTCTCTCTCTCTTTCTTTCTGTTTCTCTTTCAATCAAAGGGCAAGGCGCGTGGCAACCGCACGGCGATCTATCTGCGTTCAGTATTCCAATCCCACCTCGAAACGCTCGGCAGCTCGGTGCAGAAGCATGCGGGCAAGGTGCTCTTTGTCGCCATCCTGGTGTTGAGCACATTCTGTGTGGGCCTCAAGAGCGCCCAGATACACTCGAAGGTGCACCAGCTCTGGATACAGGAGGGCGGCCGACTCGAATCGGAGCTGGCCTACACGCAGAAGACGATCGGCGAGGACGAGTCGTCGACGCATCAGCTAATCATACAGACGGCCCACGATCCGAACGCATCGGTGCTGCATCCCCAGGCGCTGCTCTCACATCTCGAGGTGCTTGTCAAGGCGACCGCGGTCAAGGTGCACATGTACGAAACGGAATGGCGCCTGCGCGACATGTGCAACTCGCCGACAACGCCCAGCTTCGAGGGCCACTACTACATTGAGCAGATACTAAAGCATTTGATACCCTGTTCCATTATAACGCCACTCGATTGCTTCTGGGAGGGCAGCCAGCTGCTAGGACCCGAAGCACCTGTCTATATACCGTGAGTAGCAAAAGGAATTCCTCAAACTCGCTCTCGATTCACCTAACTTGTGCACCCCAAACAAGCTTTACTTAACCACACTTCCTTAAGCCCAAATTGAGCCTTCAAGTAGTCGCAGTTTTCCTTTACCTAACCTCCTTCCATCCTAACGTCCTTTCCTAACAACAGCAATTGGTACTTGATCTAAGTCTTCTTCCTTAGCCCCAATTCTTACTTAATCGTATCTGCATTGCTTAAATTTAAGGTAGGATCCATTGGGGTTAAGCAAGGAAGAATAAGGAATAATAATAAGGAATCAATTTAAGGTAGGATCCATTGGGTTTAAGCAAGGAAGAATAAGGGTTCTTGCCTAACAACAATGGATCCTACCTCAAATCTAATCAAATGTGAGACCTTAGAGACCTTAGCTCTAATCATCTCTCTCTCTCCCTCTCTCTCTTCGACAGTGGCCTCGACCAGCGACTGATGTGGAGCACTCTGAATCCCTCGGCTGTGATGCAGTTCATGAAGCAGCAAATGTCCGATCATAAGATTAGCTTCGACTTCGATATCGAAACCGTGGAGCAGTATATGAAGCGTGCGGCCATTGGCAGCGGCTACATGGAGAAGCCCTGTCTGAATCCATTGCATCCACAGTGCCCGGACACGGCGCCCAACAAGAACAGCCAGCAGCCGCCGGACGTGGGTGCCATACTCTCGGGCGGCTGCTATGGCTTTGCGGCCAAGCACATGCACTGGCCGGAGCAGCTGATCGTGGGCGGGGCACAGCGCAATCGCAGCGGCCACCTGAAGAAGGCCAAGGCACTGCAGACGGTGGTGCAGCTGATGACGGAGAAGGAGATGTACGACCAGTGGAAGAACCACTACAAAGTCCACCACATTGGCTGGACACAGGAGAAGGCCGCCGAGGTGCTCAATGCCTGGCAGCGGAACTTCTCCCGCGAGGTGGACCAGCTGCTGCGCCAGCAGTCCCGCATTGCGGCCAACTACGACATCTACGTGTTCAGCTCGGCCACCCTGGACGACATCCTGGCCAAGTTCTCGCATCCCAGCGCCGTGAGCATTGTCATCGGCGTTGCTGCCACGGTGCTCTATGCTTTCTGCACGCTGCTGCGCTGGCGCGATCCGGTGCGCGGCCAGAGCAGCGTGGGCGTGGCTGGCGTCCTGCTCATGTGCTTCAGCACGGCGGCCGGGCTGGGCCTGTGCGCGTTGCTGGGCATTGTGTTCAATGCGGCGAGCACACAGGTGGTGCCGTTCCTGGCGCTGGGTCTCGGCGTGGATCATATCTTCATGCTGACGGCGGCCTACGCGGAGAGCAATCGCAAGGAGCAGACCAAGCTCATACTGAAGAAGGTGGGACCCAGCATACTGTTCAGCGCCTGCAGCACCGCTGGCTCCTTCTTTGCGGCCGTCTTCATTCCGGTGCCCGCCTTGAAGGTCTTTTGCCTGCAGGCGGCCATTGTGATGTGCTTCAATTTGGCAGCGGCTCTGCTCGTCTTTCCGGCCATGATATCTTTGGACTTGCGCCGGCGCACCGCGGGCCGTGCGGACATCTTTTGCTGCTGCTTTCCCGTTTGGAAGGAGCCGCCCAAGTCGCCGGCGTTGGCCATGAACAACAACAACAATATGCGCGGCGGACGTCATCCGAAGAACTGCAACAACAATCGAACGGGTCAGCAGCAGCAGCAGCAACAGCAGCAGCAGCAGCCGCAGCAGCAGCTCGCTCAAAATCCTTTGCTGGAGTCGCGCGCTGCCTCAGCTGGCGGCGTGGCCAGCTCGCTGCCCAGCTTCTCCCTCGCCAGCTTTGCCTACAAGTATTATACGCCCTTCCTCATGCGCAGCTGGGTCAAGTTCCTGGCCGTGATGGGCTTCCTGTGCGCCGTCATCTTTAGCCTGTACGAGGCGACGGCGCTGCAGGATGGCCTGGACATCATTGACCTGGTGCCCAAGCACAGCAACGAGCACAAGTTTCTGGATGCCCAAACGCGTCTCTTTGGCTTCTACAGCATGTACGCCGTGACCCAGGGCAACTTTGAGTATCCGACGCAGCAGAAGCTGCTCTGCGACTACCACGAAGCGTTCGTCCGCGTGCCGCATGTGATCAAGAACGACAATGGCGGCCTGCCGGACTTCTGGCTGCTGCTGTTCCGCGACTGGCTGCGCAATCTGCAGCGCATATTCGACGAGGAGGTCCGCGACGGACGACTCAACAAGGAGAAATGGCATCAGAACGCCAGCAGCGATGCGATCCTCGCCTACAAGCTGATCGTGCAGACGGGCTACGTGGACAATCCGGTGGACAAGAGTCTCGTGGAGACGAATCGTCTGGTGGACAGAGATGGCATCATCAATCCCAAGGCCTTCTACAACTACCTGTCCGCGTGGGCCACCAACGACGTCTTCGCCTACGGCGCCTCACAGGTGAGCGAGCGGGACGCGCTGGCAGCTGTTACCGTTGACTAATCCTCCTCAACTCTTGCAGGGCAAACTGTATCCGGAACCGCGCCAGTATTATCATGCACCCAACGAATACGATCTGAAGATACCCAAGAGCCTGCCCCTGGTCTACGCCCAGATGCCCTTCTACTTGCACGGCCTGACGGACACCTCCGAGATCAAGACACTGATTGGTCACATACGCGATCTGAGCGTCAAGTTCGAGGGCTACGGCTTGCCCAACTATCCGTCAGGTAGGCACAGACTCCAGCTCCATCCACATATATTTCTCTATATGCATCTGCTTCCTCTAGGCATTCCCTTCATCTTCTGGGAACAGTACATGACGCTGCGTTCCTCGCTGGCTCTGATCCTGGCCTGCGCTCTGCTGGCTGCCTTGGTCCTGGTGTCGCTGCTGCTGCTTTCCGTTTCGGCTGCCGTTCTGGTCATCGTCACGGTGCTGGCCTCACTGGCCCAGATCTTTGGCGCCATGACGCTGCTGGGCATCAAGCTGTCGGCCATACCCGCCGTGATCCTCATCCTGGGCGTGGGCATGATACTTTGCTTCAACGTTCACATTTCACTGGTAGGTGCAACGCCTCGAAGCCAGTTCCGATTGACCTTTATATATATATATATTTACTTATATTTGCAGGGCTTCATGACGTCGTTGGGCAATCGTCAGCGGCGCGTGCATCTGGCCATGCAGCTGTCGCTGGGTCCATTGGTCCATGGCATTCTCACCTCCGGCATGGCCGTGTTTATGCTCTCGACCTCCCCGTTTGAGTTCGTCATTCGGCACTTTTGCTGGCTGCTGCTGGTCGTGCTGTGCGTGGGCGCCTGCAATAGCCTGGTCGTGTTCCCGATACTGCTGAGCATGCTGGGGCCGGAGGCGGAGCTGGTGCCACTGGAGCATCCGGATCGCATATCGACGCCGTCGCCGGTGCCCATGCGCAGCAGCAAGCGCTCCAACAAATCGTACATTGTGAATGGCTCGCGTGGCTCGTCGCGCAGCTCCGGCTCCAACAACTGCCACAAGGCGCATCACTATCACAAGGATGTCAACATCAATGATCCGTCGCTGACGACCATCACGGAGGAGCCGCAGTCGTGGAAGTCCAGCAATTCGTCTATACAAATGCACAACGATTGGAGCGCTCCGCCCACGCCCACGCCCACGCACAACCACAAGCATAATCATAATTATAATCACAATCATCTGAACAATCATTATATGAACAACATTAACTATCAGCAGCGCGAACGCGAACGCGAACCGGCGCATGCCTCCAGCTATGCGGGGCAGCCGCCGCCATCGTATCACAAGCTCTCGCAGCCAGTACTGGGCGGCTATGCGCCGCCGGAGCTGCAGAGCATTGTGGTGCAGCCGGAGGTGACCGTCGAGACGACGCATTCCGACAGCAACACCACCAAGGTGACAGCCACGGCGAACATCAAAGTGGAGCTGGTCACGCCCGGACGAGCGGTGCGCAGCTACAACTTTACGAGTTAGCCCTGGCACTAGCACTAGCACTAGTTCCTGTAGCCATTTAACGTCTATTTGTAAACTGTAAACTGTAAACTGTTAGCTGTTAACTGTTAGCTGTTAACTGCGAGCTGTTAGCTGCGAGCTGTTAACTGCGAGCTGTTAACTGCGAGCTGTTAGCTGTTAGCTGTTGGCTGTTAACTGCGAGCTGTTAGCTTTTAACATCTAGCTGTTAGCTGTTAACATCTAGCTGTTATCTGCTAGCTGTTAGCTGTTAACTGCAAGCTGTTAGCTGTTAACTGTGAGTTGTTAACTGCGATCTGTCAGCTGTTAACTGCAAGCTGTTAGCTGTTAGCTGTTAACTGTTAACTGCGAGCTGTTAGCTTTTAACTGCTGTTAACATCTAGCTGTTATCTGCTAGCTGTTAGCTGTTATCTGCTAGCTGTTAGCTGTTATCTGCTAGCTGTTAGCTGTAATCTGTATATGTGTATGCATGTTAGTTAATTTCCATATAGAACATATATATCTTTATAAATATATATATCTGTCTATAAACCATATGAATATATATGTGTGTAGTATATATAGCAGCTGCTACGCTCACTGCGCGCATGCCTAGCAGCTTTGTATGTATGTATTTAGCATTTAAGGCATTCTTATACATAGAGTTATTTATTGTAACACACACCCACACACACACACACACGCACACACGAACAGAGCTATGTACTTATATTTGAGGCCGTTCTTCAAAGGCGAGATTGAAATATCTAAACCAACCCACACACTAGTAATTTATAGCATTTAATTTAGTTTAAATATGTACATAGAACACAAGGACTTGAACCAAAATAGTATCGCTTAAAAAACAAAAACAAAAACAAAAACAAAACACAATGAATTTAAGTATGAGAAACAACAAAAATATTTAAAACGAGTTGAACAAGCAAACAAAAGTATGAGAAGCATCCCTCCCGTAGGTACTTACAACCAAAATTAATAAATATATATATATATTTATATATATGCACTAAAATATATATGTATGCGTAGCTATATGTTAATGAACGTCTCGACATGGACTGTATTTCTGGTATCCAAATAAAATAACACAAACTCATTATGCAGTTCTTGAAAAGCGAAAGCATTTAAATAAAATCAAGCAATTTGTAAAGCGAACCATCTCCATTTGTATTACTATCTAAGATCTATGTGAAATCGGTTTAATATATGTGCATAGCGAAGGCTGCTCTAGAGATCTCTTTATCTCTTTACTCTCTTTGCCCAGCCAGCTACTCTCTGCTCTCTGCTCTCTTCTTTCACTTGTCTTTTTTATCTTCTTCTTTTTGTGCTCTTCTCTCTTATCTCTTTTGTTTCTTTTCTTTTCTATTTGCTCTATTCTCTTCTCTCTATTTGCGTTTCTCTCTTCACTCTTCTCTATTCTTCATTTTTCCCTATCTATCTTCTCTATCTATCTTTTCTGTTTATTTTTCTCTCTTCTCACTTCTCTCTTTCTTTTCCCATCTACCTCTCTCTCTCTCTCATCTTTCATCTCTCTTTTACCCTATATTTTTTTCTTTCTTCTCTCCTCTTCTTACTCCTTTTCTTTATCTCTTTCTTCTCTCTCTCTCTTTCTCATTTCTTTTCTATTTTTCCTTCTCTCTCTTTTCATTTCTCTCTTCTATGCTCTTTTCTCTCTTGCCTCTACTCTCCTCACTCGTATTTCCTGCCTCTTCTTCCATTGCTTCTTTCTCTTCTCGCTTCTCTCTTCACTCTGTTCTCTTCACTTCTCTTAGCTCAATCTCAATCTCAACCTCAATCTCAATCCCAATCTCAATCTCCTAGATATAAACTTCACTTTAAGATATATAATCCAATCCCTTTTCGATCTTGAATACTAAATGTTTGGCATATACCTAATACGCCTATAGCTTTTGGCTTATAGCAGGTAGTCAGCGGGATAACTGTGCATCGAGATGGCAATGTTGATAGATGATTTCAGGTATTTTATGTCGAATGTATGTGGCGCATGTCCGTCGATCAGTCAGTGTTGTACGAATGCCTGGCTCACAGGTTAGTTGCCACAGCTTGTTGCGCGTCTCGTACAAGTACCGCTGCTCGATGGCCAGGGAGCTGGAGGACTGCCAAACGATAATCAACTACTTCAACTACTTCGAGCTGATGTATTGCCTGCTGCGCATCCACGAGGAGTCGTCGGACTACTTCGCGATCTTCCTGTTGCTCCTCGCGTATGTTGCATATTTGCTGCTGATGTCGATAGTTGTCGATCAGTTGTGAGTGCCCGATCAAGTTATCGATATCGATATCGATATCGCTCATACATCTGCTTGCTTAGCTTTACGCCCACGGTCAAGATTCTGGCCATGAAGCTGCGGCTCAATGAGTACTTGGCTGGCGTCACGTTGCTGGCCTTCGCCAACTCATCGCCCGACTTCGTGGCCAACCTGATGCCCATCAAGAAGCGCGGCGCTCTCTTCACCTGCACCATCGGCCACAGCCTGGCCGTGCTGCTCGTCTGCGGCGGCATGATCTGCTTTCTGAAGCCCTTCCAGATCGACGGCCACAGCACCGTCCAGAACCTACTCTTCCTCACGCTGGCCATCGAGCTGCTCACCTGCATAGTGTTCAGTGGGCATCGCGTGACCCGCGCAGACGCCTTGGGTGAGCACTCTCCACATCCCAGTCTGATTATAATATTGCACTCACTGCTATGCTTCCTCCCGAGCTCCAGTCCTATTGTCCTTCTACGGCATCTTTCTGATTGTCAACATTGCGGATCTTCTACTCATTAAGCATACCATAAGGAGTAAGTTGCATTGACTCGATCTAGCTGGGTGTAACTCTCCCTACGTATTCGTATCTGCCTCTATGTCTATCTATCTCTCTATCTTTCTGTCCATACTATATATCTATCTATCTATCTAGCTATCTATCGTAACTATCTGTATCTATCTATCTATATGTCTATCTATCTATATGTCTATCTATCTATCTATCTATCTATCTATCTATCCATCTATATCTGTCTATCTATCTCTATCTATCTATCAATTTAACTATCTATATTTCTATCTATCTGTCTATCTATCTATCTATCTATCCATCTGTCTATCTATCTGTCAATCTGTCTATCTATTTATCTATCTCTATCTATCTATCAATCTGTCTATCTATATTTCTAACTATCTATTTATCTATATATATTTCTATCTATCTATACATCTATCCATCTATCTATCTGTCTATCTATATAGGTTTTTGCTTCCGTATATATTTATTTATATCTTTCAATCTCTCTCTCTCTCTCTCTCTCTCTCTCTCTTTATATATCATCCATCTATCAATCTTCTTATATATTTATCTTTATTTCTTTATATTGATATCTATCTTTATATCTTTATATCTTTATATCTATATATATATATATATATATATAGCTATATATTTGTCTATATTGATTCACTTTATCTACATATCCGCCTATATGTCTGTATCTCTATCTATCTTTTTTCTATTCTATCTTATCTATCTATCTTATCTTATTTCTCTATTCATCTATCTAACTCTCTTTATATCTAGCTCTCTATCTATTTATTTTTCTACATATCTTTCTATATATTCACCTATATATGCTCAATCTTGAATACTATTATGACTATAGACTTAAAGTGTCAAGTCGTTCACCAGTCACTCAGCTCGTAATGCCCCCCTTTCCCTCCCCGTCTAATGCAGCACTGCGCTTGGAGCTGAAAGATCAACGAGATGGACAAGCACAAAGCCTGGAAAATAAGAAGAAGTTGGCGTTACTTAACGATTTGGAGCAGAACGATGTTATCAACTTCGAGTGGCACAGAACCCATGATGCAGATGACTTTGGCATGGCCATTCTAGGATCGGATAGCGCGGATTATGTGGCATATCGCACGATCTTGCACTCGCCGAGCAGCTCGAAGAATCGCTTGTTGTTCGCCGATCTCTGGGACTCGCTGAGACCCTACGACGCTCTCGAATGGCAGCTGGGCAACTGCTGCCAGCGGCTGCTGATCATCCTGAAGGTGCCGCTGCTGCTGCTCGCCACGTTGTTTGTGCCCGTCGTGGACTATGGGAAGCACAAGCACGGCTGGAGCAAGTTGCTCAACTGCACGCAGATCGTCACGAATCCGTTCCTCATCATCACCGCAGTGCACTGTAAGCGCGAGCCTGGCGAGCTCCTGGCTCTGTGATCTATTAATGAACTTGCCTCATTCTGCCCGCTCCTTAGCCAAGTTTGCCAGCGTCTACAAGTCTTGGTACATTGACTTGAAGCTGGATTATTCCGCTTGGTCCTTCTGCCTGACCGTGCCCTTGGCGCTGTTTGTCTTCCTCGATTCGCGCACCGATATGCCGCCTCGATATCATTTCGTAAGTATTTATCGATCTTCGATAACTGCTGCGGCCTGCTCCATTCAGTGTCGTTGCCACAGTTCTTCATCACTCTGAGCGCTTGCAGCTCTTTGGTGCTCATCGTTTTGTGCGTGGGCGAGATCGAGATACTCACCTCCATTGTGGGCGCGGCCTTCAATCTGGGCGAAACCTTTGTGGACATTACGTTTGGCTCCTTGACCAATGCCATCATCGATCTGCTGGCCGACTTCAGTCTGGCCATGCAGGGCTACGATAAAATGGCCTTTGCCGCCATCTGTGCGGCTCCATTTTTCAGTAAGTAAGCTCCATAGACTTTACTTTGGGATATTTTTTTTATATTTTTTTATATATTTATTAATTTTTTTTAATTTATATATTTTTTTATATTTTTTATTTATATTTTTTATTTATTATTTTTAATTATATTTTTTATTTATATATTTTATTTATATTATTTTATTCCCCGCAGGCATCGTCGTTGGCTTGGGCGTGGCATTTCTGTTCAATTCGGACGTGAGCATAAAGGGCTCGACATATTGGCTCTATGGGGAATATGGCGATAACTGTTATATATTTATCATGTTGGCCATATTCACCCAATTGTGGTGGTGCCTGACCCTGAATTTCAGTTCTCGTCGATCGGTTGGAGTATTTTCGTGGATTTTGTATCTTTTGTTTTTAGTTTATGCGATTGCAGCTGAGTTTAATCTGGTGCACGAGTTTACAAGAGATGATAGCTTTGAACTGCAATAGTTATAGCATATTATTGTACTCTTAAATTTGTAATTACATATATAAAATATACATATATATCAAACTCTTTCTCTTAATTATCTTTCTCTTAATTGCTAAGAGCGAACATAAGACATTACGAAGAGCATCAAAAGCAATCAGCAATCAGCAAATATCTTTGTCTTGCTCTGTCACATTAGTTCATTGGCCAACTAAGCTTTTTGCTCGCTCTTACATGTGAGAGCGATATGTCCAGAAACACAGCACAGAATCGAATCCATTCTCTGTCCTGCTCTGCCGTTTTAGCTTAACGACGCTTATCGCTCGCTGCAAAACTCTCTTATTCACTGGGCCAAAAATTAAAACGGCATGTGTTGTTTAATTATATTATTATTATTATCGGTGTGCAGAGAGTTGCAACAGTCATACAAGCAAAGAAACTCTTTGAAACTTTCGTGACAAACTGTTGTTTCTCTCCTTTCGTTAGTATTGCAAGCGTCTCTTTCTATGTCCTTTTCTTTTCTCATTCCGTTCTACTCTACCGTACACACAATTAGCAAACATACGACGCAAATGTTTTATAATTAAGAGTGGTTATAATCTTACACCCAGGCTGGAGGCAAAACTCAAAATTTTGTGAATTTTCCCCTGCCTTTCACAACGTTACCCATGAAACAAATGTATAATTTTTTATTTTCGTAAAATCAAAATTTCGTCTTATATTTTTAACGGTAAACTGTGCGCTTTTTTAGTGCTAAAAATAAATAGTAGCCTACCTTAGAGCTGGTAAAGTAGCGTGCGTTCATAATACAGGGTTCGTGTCTGTACTACACGTGGCCACGCTTATGGTGGTAGGCTTGGATTATTCGTTAAGTAAGAAAACTGGTTAAGCAATTTCGTCAACTAATATTTGTACTCTGTGGCAACACCAAAAACACGTGATATGCACTCTGTCATTGCAAAGTCAATAATGACGAAGGTAAGTCGAAAAAATACAAAGCCAATATCATAAGTATGTCATATCGCATAAAATTACCGATGCTTATTTTGGTAGCGAATTATCGATAAGTATGCTACTACATTTTATAAACATTTCAAAGTATTTTTATGTATAAAATTCATGTAAATGGTATGATATTCGTATATTTCGGTATAAGCGTAATTTGTGAGTACTAATTACTGCTACATAATGACACTATCGATATAATTAGAATTTGAAAAATTATTGTATTTACATTTCGATCTATCGATATTTTAATACGATATAAACATCAACAAGAAATAGATATAAAAAACAATTGGAAGCGCGCCGCGTGTTTGTAACAGTAAAAACCGCTGCATCTTCTAAATCGAATACTCTAAATAGTACATAATATTATTAAGTTATTCAATTACGGAATAAATCAAGTGCAACTGCATGCGCTGCAGAAGCAAGCAAAAATAAAGCAACTGAACCGCAAAAGTGAGAGAGTAACTGCAAACAGATTCGCCTGTGTGCGTGAGTGAGTGGTCCGAATCAGTCGGTGAAAATAATCGTGGCAAAAGCAAAAGCGACGGCGACATTTTATACACGTATCAGAAGCAAACTCAACGTGTTTTGAGAACGTTGTACTGGACGCGTTGTGGCTATCGCATATATATGTACATATATCTTCATAAGCATACATACAAACATAAGAAGTTTGAGTGATCATATACGTACATACATACCTATGTATGTAGATGCGGGCGCGAAATTAAGACGCATACTAAAATTTTTAAAACGCAATTGAAAGCACAACGTCGTTAACTTTAAAGCTTTGTGTAAGTAAGAAATTGTTCGCTTTTCGTCCGGTTGCCAATGAGCTGATTGCTTGTGTGTGTGGCTGTGTATGTTTTGTGTTTGTGTGTGTGTATGCGTGTGTGTGTGAACATGCCATCAAATTGGCAAAAGCGCAGCTACAAAGAAAAAATGTGCATAAGTGTGTAATTTGGTGAAAGTTTCATTTCAAAGAACAGTCAGTCCAATGAACGTTGAGCCAGTCGAATTCTCATGGAATAATGCCTGACAATGTGGTTAAATCGTCATAGCTAAATATTTCTGTGTGTGTTTCGTTTGTAGATAAACTGTTGCAGTTGTACTTAAATTGTTTACTTATATTTCATGTTTCATATTAAATTTATTATTGGTGTTTATTACATGTGCGCGCTCCTCGCTCTTCGCTAACTCTCTCTCTCTCGCTGGCTCTCTCGGTCATTATATCGTATGCCAATGCAAATAACGGCATTTCAAATACAACGACGCAAATGCACTGGGAATTACAATATTGTGAATACAGCAGGTAAAGTATTTAAATTTAAATCATACTCTCTTTAACGTATGTAATTAGTTATGTAGCTAGACTCTTCCTGTCTGTCGCTCAGCTGACGCAGGTCACACGCACAGACACAAATACACAAACACAAATGCACAGAGATAGGCGTGCATTTGCTCTCTCACACCCATTTGTTTTCCCTTTGCCGGCGTGGCGGCTCAAATATCACGCCACCTGATCCAATGGTCCGTGTCGAAAATACAAATGCAGCTGGTCTTATACGTTTCTTATACATCTACTTATACTCTTAAGCCTTTCATGATTTTAAACTAACAATTTGAAATTGTGGTAAACAGTGCGAGTTGACCTAGTTTTCATATGCAGGAGAGCAATTGCATTGAGCGCTACGCAATATTTGCATTATGCAATGTTGTCAGTGGCAACAGAGAACAAATAAAACAAATGATTTGTTTAGTTTATTATTTAGTTTATTATCTGATCACAATTACAATTTTTAAAATAATATTGATAAAACCAATGTGATAATAATATATTTAAAGCTGTCGCATTTTATGAATGTGCTTCAACGTTTCTCTTTTTGTCTTTCTTTCTCTTTCTGATGTTTGGCACTTCCCCTCTTAGCACGTGCATCAAGTGCTTTCTTGTAAAAGTACGCGCACGCTCTCTTCCAGGGTCGTGTTCTCTCGCGCTATCTCTCTCTGTCGTTCAGCTCTCTTGAGCAGGCTGACTCAGTCGCTCTGTTTTTACACCCACTCAGTTGCGTCTGCTTGGTTTATTATATACCAACTGAAAATCATGCGAGTTTTGTGCTGTTCTGGACTTTGAGGGTCACGAGGCGGGAGTCTGCTTGGGGGTCATCTGTTTGTGTGTGTGTGTGAGTGAGTGTTAGTGTGTATTGCGATGTGTCATCTGTTTATGTTGTTGTCATCGCATCGTCGCAGGCGAAGGCGCTGGCTGCCCAGCTGAGCCGACCGATGATGGCCCATGGAAATGTTGCTGCATTTTCAAATTAGCGACGGCGAGTCGATTTCTCGGGTGCGGCCTGTGTTATGGCCCGGAAGCAGTCTGTTATCAAAGTCGGCAGCAGTGCTTCAGTCACGTTTATTAGCTGCGGTCTGTTTTGCTTCAAAATGTAAGTTGCAGTTGCAGTTGCAGTTTTCTACATGTAAAAGCATATCAAGAGAATTTCATTTCGTAAAAAGAAGTTATATTTTGAATAATTCTTTTCGATTTTCTCATTAGTCCCGCATCTTTCAGTTTATTTTGTAATTCCTTTCAATACAGTTATACGAAAATATGTTTGCTTACACGCACACATCAAAAATATGCATGTATGTATTTCGCCGGCCGCAGCTTTCATTCATGGCCAAACCCAATTGTTAATGCCAACAGCAGCGCAGCAGCAGTAGATTCCATGGGGGTCAAGGAGTATTCAACGTTGTAAACAATGTGCTCTTTGACCTTTCAGCCCCGCGCCTTGGTTAACGTCAGCGAGCGTATGCTCTCTTCGCCTTCACACCGCGCTCTTGTACAGTTGACGCCGACGTCACACGCGATGCAATTTATTGCTATGTTATTCGCCCCATTTCGCCCTGTTCGCCCTATGCGTTCTCTTCGCCGCACTTTTGATGTGCTTTGTTGCTGCGCAACATTTCCCCTGAAACTCATACGATTTTCAGCTGGTATATCCAAAGGCCAAAGAAGACTAGAAAAACGAAAAAAAACGTGCCACGGCATGTTGCCACACCAACAACCCTCGACCGATTTTCCTGCACCCAGTGTGAATATGTCTGATGTTTTTCTTTTTCCGCTGTTGCAGTTGAGACCATACCAGAAAGTCACGCGATTCTTGGACCTATATGTATATATATGTATGTATGAATGTATGTATGAATGCCTGTATGTATATATGTATGTGTATAGTAGTTTATACATTTGCCCTTTAGTGGAATTTATATTATTTTGTTTGGCAGAGATACTTAGAATATATATAGTGATAAGCTAATCTGATTCCAGAAAAAATCAGATCTGAAGTAGTTTAGATATTTGTATAATATAATAACAATCCTATTTTTAAGAAAAAGTATGTGTATAATACATTAATCTGAAGTTATCAATCTGATCGAAACTTGATATGGCATTCAACTAACTAAATAAGTAAATCTAATTCATTTTGTTCTTCCTTCATACACAGAACTATTTACTATTGTAAAAACTGTTTTGGAATTACATTTTTATTCAACTATTCTCTAACAAATCTGCCGAACCTTTTTCTTTCGATCATTCAATACTAATATCAAGTATACTCCATGTGAGGAATGACTTTAAAGTTGCATCATCATCACGTAAATACTACGTTCTATCTCTACTGTAATTCTCAGCTGTTTCCGCAAGAAGTTTCTGATGATCAATACCTTAATATCTATAAAGTTACATCATCATCTTGTATGAACTATGCCCATAGTGCCTGCACCCAATCTAAATTTTATGGCGCGCCTCACTCACTTATCATAAAATTCTATATCGTAATCTCACTTTGATTGTAAGAACTAAAAACAATTGTAAAGCTTACCTCGTTATTGTTTATTCGACTTTGTTCTTGGGGTGACCATGTTTTTTGATTATATTTGACTTAAGTAGAAAAGTGTTGTAATATCAACGGGCCGTACAGATAAGTGTCATATACCATATGGATGTAATATGCATTAAAGCTTTTATTATAACTCAACTGGCTCAGAAGAAGGATCCTTAGCGTTAAAAGACCTATATTTCTATATATAACAAATCACATTTGGCAAGTTTATTAGTTTTGAAAGCTAAACTAAAGATATTACGAAATCTAATTTGTATATATCAAGTATTCAATTTATGCATGTGTATGTATATTAAATTTATACTTATTAGACAATAATCTATGTGTATTAAAGACTTTAGATAGTAGAAGAAAGAAATATCGACCATAAGCATCAAAGCAAAGTTTTTTTTTTAAATTTAACCATGAGAATTTCCTTGAAACTGTAGATGTATTCTATTTTAGGTCTCAGATACATAGATGACATATATATATATATACGTAATATTACTGTTTACTGATTACAAACATACATATACATATATATAAGCATGTATTTATGTAAGCTATAAGTTGTAAACTTCTCTCTCTCTCTTTCTCTTTGTGGGTGGTTTCAATACGTTCTAAGTTTGGCATGCGGCACGAAACACGTTTGCTTCTATAACGATAAACAATGAAGCACACACACACACATACGCACACACCTACACTCGTTGCAAACAATGTTCGCTTTAGTCACGAAGTTGAAATTTATGCGAAAAGATTTTCTAACCGGTTTTGCCACCGGCGGGGTGCGTTGAATTGCCCGTATTATGTTTTCTTTTTCTGTTTTTGTAAAATCATTAAACCGGCCTTTTGCGACGTGCGCTCAGTAATCATGATCATGGCCAAAGAGTTTATCTTGTGGAAAATTTTCACTTTGCATCGCTATCGCACGTGCTGTGCTGATTGAGGAGGCGGGGAGCTGGGAAAGCGCTTGTGATGGTCACTCTAAAGATAACTGCACGCATGCTTGTCTAGGTCACTTGAATGCATGTATGCATGTCTGTATGTATAAGCTGAGAGTGACGTCTACGTCAGTGCCACATTACTTTCCAACTCACACTCACACAAGATCGGGAGTCGGTGCCTTGCTGATGTGATGACGCGCAGGCGAAATGAGCGAGTGCAAAAGAGCGAAAATCTGTCTGGCTACTTATCTGCTTTTGCCAGTAGCTGTGTGTGAATGTGTTTTGTATGCGCATTTGTTTGTTCGCTCTCGCCGCTCTTTCGTTCTACTACTCTCTCTCTTCAGTTTTTATGGTCACTTGGCTGCAGTTGCCTGTAATCAAATCTATTTAAATATCTCCCACAAAATCTTCGGTTTGTTTGTTTTGCATGCTTTGTTACTCTTTCTCTTTTCCTTTCTCTTTTTTTTTTTTGTCTTTTTTTTAATGAAATATTCAGCGCGTCGTGCAAATATGTTATGAGTATTGTTGTTTTATTTCAATCTTCTTACCGAGCATTTTTCTCATTTTATGTGCGCTCAACAAGCTGCAAACACACACGAGCGCAAATAATAAAAAAACTACTGAAAATTATTTTTATTTTGGACTTTGACACAGTCATACGATGATTTTGTTACCCCATTTGAGTAAATGAGGCATATGTATATGCGTGTGAGTGGGAGCGTGAGATAAAGGAGACATAGAGACAATGACACAAGAATAATTGCTGTCTCGCTCACTCAATCGACAAGTATTTTGATCATAGGTCACTTGAAAATGACGCCAAGCGCTCTGATAAGTTGCAATGCAACTACATATGCATGCATGTATGTATATATATATATATGTATGTATATATATGAGGAAGCAGTGACAGGCGCCTTCTATCGCCTTGCACACCACGTCAATGTCAAGGCAACTCGCGTGTCA